CCTTCCTTCCTTCCTTCCTTCCTTCCTTCCTTCCTTCCTCCCTCCCTCCCTCCCTCCCCTTTCCCCTTCCCTTCAGGTGAGTCTTCATTCCTGGCAACTGCTTGGACTAATCCCTGCAGGAATTTTTGGCAACATTTTGGAAGTGGTTTCCCACTGCCTTCTTCCTAGAGCCGAGAGAGAGGGACTGGGTCAAAGACACCTAGCTGGCTTTAGTCCTAACACAGGATTAGAACTCATGGTTTCCTGGTTACTAGTGGTGCCTTTAACCACTATACCAAACTGGCTCTCTATCATGATCTATAAAGGTTCTAAATTGTAAGACTTCTCTTAGTGGCAACTAAAACAAGAGTGCAGAAAGATTAAGAGGATCAGACTAGGGCAATACTAAATTTGAAATTTACCAGTGTAAGATAGTAAAATTGCCTGGCTGTCTAAAGGAGTTTCTGGGTGAACGTACAGCATCTAGTCTACAGGTAGTAGATCTCCTGCTACAGAGAATCTTGTTCAGTTCCTCCATTTCCACAAGCTCAAAAGAATTCCAAACAGTTTTGGAAGAGTCATCTCACCAAATTCTACCCAAATGGCATCTAACTCAGAATGAATGCAAGTGATTTTACATGCCAAGAATCCTGCAAATGAGTTGCAGTGGCCAGCAGGAAGTTCTTCACTCTGCAACAATATGCACGTGATCTGGCAAGAACTGATGGCAATGTCTTCCATCTTCAAATCATATCACCACTCCTCCAAGATAAACACCAGATGTGTTTGGTCTGAAATCATCTAGAAGACACCCATGATTGTTCTGAAGGCCATGAAATCCTGAGTTCAACCAGGATCCACCTCTAAACATGGAAACTGAACTCACCCAGCACTAACAACCTGGACAACAATAACACCAGTGCATATATGAGATCCAGAAGTTCAGTGTGGGTTGCTACCAGGCAGCAGGATGGAGAGTACACCATCAATAGCCCTAGCCTGTTCCTCGGCTCTCACTAAGCATACAGATGTTCATACCAATAGCTTGTAAAGTTACTAAAAAGCATTACTGTATTGGATCCCCTCTCTGATCTCAAAATAATGGCTGCTGCAGTACCAGGAACCTGGGGAAGCAAATCTCAGACAGGGCCATATCCCCATCTTCACCCAACCTAGGTTTCTTTGATGCAGCCCAGGTCTACACACTCTTCTACCACCACACACTGAATGGATGTAGTCCTATGGAGTGCTGGTAAATTAGCAAAATCTGGAGGCTAAAGTAGCCAACAGCACAATCACTGGAGCCAGGAAAGAGCCAGAAGAGCCAGAAGGGGGACTGACAACAAACTGTAGACTCCAAATTGTAGACTTCCAGCCACTCAGACTGGAAACTGGCTACTCCACATTTGATCTACCCCACATTTGGTCAACCAAAACAAGATTTGGTTTGGAAATAGCCCTATTAACTTCAGACTGCTTTGGAGGCCCCCTGATTCAAGCTGGGCCCCAAATCCAAATCTCAATTCAGAAATTCAAAAGCAATTATCATCCTTTTTCTGTTTGATGAAATTTGTTGAATATTTAATTTTTTAAAAATCTTCCCTGAATTGGAGGAAACATACAAGGAAAATAAAGTCTTCTGATGGATTAAGCCTGTCATTATTCACAGTAATACATTTATGGGATTTTATCAAAGAACCACATCTATATTTGGTAGGTTTTCCAGAAAAGGATGGGCCTATCTCCTTAGAATTCTTTTGTGAACAGTTGTCATAAAAATGATATATGCCACACTCTCTGCTTCACTGATATGAACCCTTTCTTAAAATGAGTTAAAATTGAAAATGTACTTATTAAATGGCTGTATTTATGGTTGGTAGGGCAACTGAGGTGGCTATAAATTGATTACATTTTTAAAATAAATAAATAATGTGGGTGTCTTTATCGTACCAAACTGAGAAGTTAAATGCAGGCATAATGATAAAAGTAGGTGTAGATGGCTCGCAACCCTCTCATTGCTAAACGACAGTTCCTAACATCCCTAGGATACATGGACAACGGCAAGGGATGGAGGAGATGTAATTTATCAACATCTGGAGTGCCACAGATTGCCTATCCCTGCCCCACTTTCTTGAATTAAACTAATACAAAACCCCAAACAAAACAAAACGTAAAACACTCACTGGAGACTGAAGGAAGAAATCCCCATTCCAATTCCAGTTGACATTTTTGTGAAAAATATGAAGGAAGAATAGAAGATGGTTTCATGCCCTGGTAAGTGAGGATTCTGCAGTTGAAAGTGGTCAACTACATCAGGCAGCATGGACCTTTAACCAACAGATTAAAAAAATGCACATCACAATTAGACATTATAGGAATACATGGTAGCACTTAATTTTTGGCATCTACTTGTTACAATTCTATATACACTTGTAAGGTACAGTTCTACTTTATTTACCCTGGTTATGCATAAACCATGGAGGGTTCTGCAAACTAACTACAGGTAGTCCTTGTTTAGTGACCACAACTGGGACTGGCAACTGAGTCATTAAATGAAACAGTCACTAAGTGAAACCATGACTGTGCTTACGATTTTACTTCAGCTTTCCTTTGCTTTACAGACCTGCGAAGGTCATAAAAGTGAGGATTGGCCACAAATTACTTTTTCATCCCATTGTAACTGCGAATTGTTGCTGTATGAGACAGTCGCTAAATGAGGACTACCTGTAAGTCAGGATTGAAAGTAATCATGAAGCAATTAAGAGTCTCTCTTCAGGTTATTGGGCCGAAGCTAGGATAGCTAAGGTAAAGTCTCTTTTGAGTCAAACTCACTCCTGGTGTAGTTTCTTGGGAACAAGATTGCTACAATTTGCCACTGCCTTCCTCTGGGATAATATTTTTAGTCAGTCAATCTAGACTAGAGCCCTGGGATCTCCTAGTGTCTCCTACCAAGTGCTAATCAGATGCAATACTGCATAGCGTTTTCAAGTTAGCCAGTGTCACCTACAGTGGTCCTAATGGCTTCAAATACCAACATAAGCGAGAATGTAAAGTAGAAAAGCAGTTTGATGGACTGTCAGCCAAACTGAACTGCTGCATACTTGTTTATTTCATCAAATGGAATGAAAAGACATTAATAAAAATATTACTACAACAGAGAAACTCTGCATATGGACATTGTGAAACTAACAGAACTGAGTACAAATATTCTTACAGATCTATTACTTCCATGTCAGAAAAAAGCAGGAGAACTTTTATAGGGTGCCTCTAGATGAAAATTTCATTATGAAATTGTCCCAATTTATGCATGAGAATCAAACAAAATTCAGTTTGTAAATCTCCTGTTTTTTTCCCCTTTCCCTTCTTTCCCAACTTAATTCATTAAAGAGTCAAAAACAAAATACAAAAATATTCTTTGGTTGAAACTGCTAGAAACTTTCAGTCTAGAAACATCCTTAAAGCCCCCCAATTAAATTAAAATAATTTTTAATTTTTAAAAATGACTGAAATAGTGTCAGAATGTTTCATGATTGCAGGGAGACTTAAAACAAGTTGTTTCTATATAACTCAAAAGCTGATTTTGAACAAAACTCTAGAATTCAATCTTTTTTGCCCTTATATAATTGCCATCAAACTTCTGATGGCTTCAGTTCTAATAATAAACCCCATTTACTGAAACCTTTCTTATCATTCCAGTCCTTGCAAATAATAACAACAATAATTTACAACTCCCCCCCCCCCACAATTACATGCAAACCTCACCCCAACATTTAAGAATAAGCAAATTGTACACAATCACTAAAGGGCATTTTAAAATAAGAATAAGTTGTTTTCTAAAAAATGACTTTAAACATCTCATGTGATTTGTAACTTAGTACGTGGAAGGCAGCTGATCTAAAATTAAAGGCACATTTTGGTAATAAAGCTTTTACAGTCTCATATTTACACATTGCTTTTACTGCCATAAAATAATATATACTTTTATATATAGCTAACATGGATAGTTTCAAATGTTTTATTGCCTGATGCTATAATTTTTTTTCACCTTTGGGATATGTAAACCTGCTGTTAAAATCACCAGGTTTTAATCATTCAGCCTTAGACTCCTCTCCCATTGGTTTAGTCTCAGGATTCTCAGCAAACTCACCCATTACAGATATTAGAAAGATTCTAGTCTAGTGGGGTACAATCTGAGGCCTCAAGTTTGGACCTCTGTAGTCCCAAGGGCTCCCCACCCTAAAGTTGCCACTATGTATTACTGCACTGAATCAACTCCATCAATATTCATTTTTAATTAAAATGGATCAAATGAAGTTTCCATTCAGGCCCCATTCACTGCTTTGTCTTGTCCTTCGCATCTTCTGGATGCAGACTGCAGGGTATCACCTAAAAGTTGTGCTGCTTTTAGCCAGAGAGATGTAGCAGATATGCCCTGCACGCCCTGCCCCTTATGCTCACACCTCTACAAGATACTCTTACCATGGCAGGAGGAAAGACGCTGCAATGCTAAGCCCAGATGCAAAAGCCACGAAGTAGGCAAGATAGAGATTTGGGATAGTCACCAGCATGATTACAGAAGGAATCATCAACTAGAATGAATGGAAATAAGGAGAAAAGATAAATCATTCCATCCATGGTTGAATGTTTAAAAAAGGGAAATGTCTTAACTGGACAATGATATAAACTGAATTAAAATTACTGTACAGACATGACAATGATTATAGGCATGACAATGTAGTAAGTCACCATCAACTCATCTAGATTAACATCATTGGCAATAATTGGTATCAGTCTGCTAGAATTTCAGACGTGGGACAAAACGCTGGATCTTCTGTATGCAAAGCATGTGCTTGAAACTACTATAGTGGCAGGCAGCCTTTTTTGCAGTAGGAACCACACTTTTATTTTTATTTTTGATTTTCCTTTTGCTTCTGAAGGCTGTTGAGCAGTGTTTTTCAAACTTGGCAACTTTAAGATGGGTGGGCTTCAACTCCCAGAATTCCTTAGG